GAAGGAAGAAGGGAGAGAGAGAGGGAGAGACATCATATATTAGAGACAGAATCAAGGCTAGGGATTGCATTAGAGCTTTTCTCCAAACGTGCCGAAAGTGAGAAATACATGCATCACCATTCTTTGATCTCTGGCTCAATCAGAGGTATAAAGCAGTGAGGTGAGGAGAAATGGAGCTGAGTAGGTTCAGGGCGCCTCGGACGGACGTGCTAAAATCCACTTTGAATTTTCAGGGCATGAGCAGGGTTCTGGCAGGCCGTCTAGTGGGGAGTGGGCATTTGCGAGGCCTGGGGAGTTGTGATCCGGAAGTGGCCAGCGTCCCTTCCCCCAGCGGGGAGGAGGAAGAGGGGGCTCAAGAAGGTGCAATTGGCCTAAATGCTGGGGGCTGCGGGGAGGACTGAGAAAGGACATTGGATTTGGTGACTGGAGACGGCTTGGTGACCTCAGAGGCAGTGCCTGGAAAGGCGAGTTGGGGGTGGGGGGGAGGAAATGGAGAGCGAGGAAAGACCCCTTGTTTGCAAAGTTCTTGTGAGAAAGGGAGTCAGAGGAGGAGGAATAAGGAAATTGTTTGGGGAGAATTTGTCCCTAAGGAGAGGATGCTTATGTTGAAGCTGATGGGAGGAGCATGTAGGGACAAAGACAAAGCAGAGATGCTTGTTGGACCAAGGACCTGAGAAGGTGCCAGGGGTGGGGTCCAGAACCCACCGCAGTGGGAGGGCGCCTCCTTGTCGTTGGCATTTCTTGACCCAAAGGAGACTCAGCAAGGCTTGCGTGTGAGGGAATTAACCAACGGGATAACCAACAGTATAAGGCAGTCCTTTCTCTCCAGGAGCTGGCCTTTCAGTCTGGAAGTTAGAACACCAGCCTTGAAGAAAGACAAGAGGAAGCCCAGTGGAGTGTTCCTGGTAAGTGGGTGCAGGGGAGGGGTGGGGTGCAGGGAGCTGTGGCATTGGGGGGGAGAGGAAAGGAGAGGGGGACTGAGGGGAAGTCAGAGGTCCCAGAGAAACTGTGCAGGTCAGCCCACCCCTGCAGGGAGAGGATGAAATGCAGCAAGAACATCAAGGGGCTGTGGGCAGCCTGCTCTCCCTGGACCCAGCGTGAGTGTCCTGGGGTTGCCCTAACAAGCTGCCACTGACTGGGAGGCTTAAAACAACAGAGATCTATCCTCTTCCAGTTCTGGAGGCCAGAGTCCAAAACTGAGGTGTTGGCAGGGCCGCGCTCCCGCTGAGGGCCCTAGGGGGGGAGGATCCTTCCTGTCTCTCCCAGGTCCTGGTGTTCCTTGGCGTGTGGCTGCATCCCTCCAGTTTCTGCCCCTGCCGTCACATGGCTGTCTTTCCTGTGTGTGTGTGTGTGTGTGTGTGTGTGTGTGTGTCTGCTTCCTCCTCTTCTAGAAGGACCTCAGTGAATGGACGAGAGCTCATCTTACTCCAGGATCCAGTATGACTCAGCTCAGCTAATCTTATCTGTGGAGACCCCACTTCCAAATAAGGTCCCTTTTTGAGGCTCTGGGTAGATGTGTATTTGGAAGACACGATTCAATGCAGTGCAGCCCCCAAGGGTGAGCAAGCCGAGACTGTGAGAGGATTTGACTGGGTACAGGGACAGCTGTGCTGCACAGAGCGGGGACACAGGAGCTCTCCTCCCCCGTCATATAGGAAGAGCCATGTAATGACCCACAGAGCTCAGGGGACTGGTCAGAACCACCCTGTGGGAAGTCAGGGGAGGAAACCTGCCCAAAACAAAGTGACAGCCGCAGGAAGAAGCTGAGTTATGTCGATATATGACTCAGTGCAGCTGCAGGGAGCACCAGGCACAGAGAATTGTGGAGAGGGGGCTGGCAACCAGCACAGGATGGTGGGGCACCTGAGACCAGACCCTGGGGAGCCACCACCGCCCTGAGCCCACGTGCAAGGAACAGCAGTGCTGTCTGGCCCCTGCCCTGTCCTTTCACGCTCATACCAGGGACTTTTCCTATGAACGAGGCAAGTCGTCTTCTCCCATTTATAGGGGAGAAGACTGATGATGCCTAGAGAGGTCAAGTGACTTTCCCAAGGTCACACAGCAGGGCTGGGGTCTGACATTTGAACCTGTGTTTAGCTGACTCTAAAGTCTTTGCTTTAATATATGCTTAAAAAAAATGGGGGGAGTGGGGCTCTTCGTTATAAAAACCTCCAGACATATGCAAAGTGAACCGAATTGTATAATGAGTTTCACACAGCAAGTTACCGGTATTTTGCTATTCTTGTTTCTCCTGCACCTCCCCCCTCTTTCCACGCAATCTCTTATCATTGTTGTGGTTATTAGTTTCTTATTTCTTGTCTTTAGGTAAAATGTAGGTACACAAGAAATGCATAAATCTTGCAATTAGTAAAAGGTACTGTACTTAATTAGTACAATTTTATAGATGCCATTATATTTTCTTTTTTTGTGTTATCTCTGTTTTCTTACATTTCTAACCATGAACAGGTAGTTTTTATAATAAAGAGAGAAAAAAAAACAATAAAATGATGATAAGAATGTTTAAGATTTTTTGTGGGCTGGTGCCCTGTCCCCTCCATCCAGCTCTAAGGCCTCGAGACCCCCCTAAATGTACTCTGTGCTTTTTCACGTGCCCCTTCTTAGTGACCAGGTCTCCTAGGACCCTGCCCGCTAGCCCACCAGAGCCCTGGGGAAGGTCTCATGGCCTGCTCGCAGGAGAAGGGGCCTCACCACACAGGACCCACAAACATAGCTGGGCCCAGGACAAGCTGCCCTAAATCCAATCCTTCCACTTCCTGGGGAACCACAACACTGCCCGGTTCCACAAAAACCTCCATCTTCAAGGGGAGAGTGGGGGGTTCTCTGGGCCTCCCCTGAGCCAATGCAAGACTGGGCAAGGCCCTGCTAACCTGCTGGGAGAGGCTGGCCTGGGGCGGGGTTGCCAAGCAACCAGCCGAAGCTCCTCCCAGGGCAGCTGTGGGTGGCCACGTTGCCCTGGAACCAGGTGGCAGCGTCCCTTGAGCCTGGCCCACGCAGCTGCTCCCAGCCCTGCCCTGCTTCTTTGGGGCTTGCAGGACCCCTGGGGCCCTGTCCTTATTTCTCAAGACCAGGACAGCTGGTGCCTCTGGTCACAATGAACATTGTTCTCTTCAGGTAAACGACCCCATGCTGGTGCTGGGCCCAGCTGGGAGGGAGGATGAGCCAGGTTTTCAGGGTCTGATGCACCAACGCAGATGGGGCAGCTGGGATTGCTTGGAAGGGGTTGGGGTGTGGGGGTGATAAGGATGAGCTCCCTCTCACACCATACCCCACACCCTCTGCAAGGTTGAGGGAAGACAGGGCTCAGGACCACAGAGGTTTCCAGAATCTGGCCTCTGTTTCTCCAGCACTACTGCCCACAGCTCTGGGGTAGCCAAGTTCACAGGGTCCATCCAACTTCCCTCGCTCACCTCTCCCTGGAAAACTCCTCTTCATGCCTCAAAGTCCCACCAGGCATTGCCCCTTCTGTGGGTTTCTCCTGACTCCAATGCCTCCGGCCTCATTCTATCACTGCTCTCTTGCAAGTCGCTGGGCCCTTCCCCCATTGTTTCTATGCCTGGTTGCTCTGAGGGTGGGAAATTCGAGGGTGCCTCTGCCGCCCCCTGGGCCTCACTCACAGGGATTCTGGTTCACAGGTCTGGGCTGAGGGCCTGGGAAAGTGCATGCTTAACTTGTGCCTCAGGTGATTCTGATGGAGGGGGTCCAAGGACCCCACCTGGAGGAACTGATACTTCAGGCAGCTGTGTGACCTTGAGCAAGATAATTCACCTCTCTGGGCCTCTGTTTACTCATTGCAAAATAGTGATAATAATAGTGCCTTACTTATGGGAAATGCATGTGCAATGTTTTGCAAACTGTGAAGTGGTGAATGAGTTAGAATTTGTTAGAAGGAGGACAAAGAGCCCTCCTCAGAGTTTCCAGCTTTAGGGACGTGATTGAAGGGTTGTGCAGGGGACTTGGGTCAAACGGAGAGAAGCAAGGGCTGGGGCAGAGCAGGGCTGGGAGGGAGGCGAGTGCCAGCGGCTGTTTAGGGAAGACTAAATTCAGCAGGTCCTTCACTCATTCCACACACTTTCATTGAACGCCTGCGATGGACGGGCACCAGGTAGCAGCACAAAACATGAGGCAGGAGGCTCCCACCCCAAGCCAAGGAGGGTGACAGAAACCAAGCACAACAGGAAGTGATCAAGGACATGCAAGAAGGACAAACTGAAGCTTCAGGGTTGGGGGTGGGGGTGATACATAGAGGGAGCACGGGATTTTAAGGCAGTAAGACTCTTCTGTACGACACTGTGATAGGGGACACAGGCATCAGGCATTTGTCAAAACCCACAAAATGCACCACGCCCAGAGTGAACGCTGGCTCGTGTAAAGAATGCATTTTAGTGACCAATAATGCATCATCACTATTGGCTCATCTTTTGTAACAAATGTCTCCAAGTGAGGCAAGATGTTACTGACGGGAAAGTGTGTGTGCTGGGGGAGGGGGTACATGGGACATCTCTGTGCTTTGCACTCAGTTTTTCTGTAAATTTAAGTCTGGTTCCCAGAAAGTTCATTAATTTAAAAAAAGGCTTCAGGGTTCAGAGAAGGGAGAGACATTTGACATCTCGGGGAAAAGACAGAATTGGTGGAATTTCAGACCAAAGAGGCCATGGCAGCTAGGGAATAAGGATTAACTCTGCCAGGGAGACAAAAGGCCCTCTAAAGGGTGGCAGGGAGATGGGGTTTGGAGCCACACCCACCTTGGCATTCCTGCCTGGCCACTGGCCAGCTCTGTGACCCAGTGGGTCTCCTGCATTGAGTTTGAAGGGCTGACACCTGACCTTGAATGGTGCCCCAGGGACCAAACCTTGAGTGTTGTCCCAGGGGCCAGATGCCTGGAGTGGCACTATCCACCTGTGAGAAAGGTGGTGGGTGGGTGAGCCTTGTGTCGCTGCCCAGGTGACCCCTCAGGCACCTGCTTCCCCAGGGACAGCCAGGTGAGGGTGATGGAGAACACAGTGACCAATGCCGAGAAGTACTTCGGCCAGTTCTGCTCACTGCTGGCTGCCTACACCCGGAAGACGGCCGGGCTGCGGGACAAGGCCGACCGGCTGGTCAAGCAGCTCATTGACTTCGCCAACACCGAGAACCCCGAGTTGCGGGCTACCATGAGGAACTTCGCCGAGGACCTGGCCAAAGTGCAGGATTACCGGCAGGCCCAGGTGAGAGGGGTCGCCGAGGACCTGGCCCCATTGTCAGGGTCGGGTCAGAGGGTGGGAGCCACCCTGTGGGAGCCATAATCAATGGACATCTCCTCCTAAGGTGTCCCTGGAGGTTGGACACTTAACACTACTCCCTCCCTGGAGGGTGTGTGTGGGGGGCGGGGGCGGGGGCGAGGAGGTGGAGGCAGGGAGGGGCAGGTCACACCTCCCTTTACAGGGCTGGGAGCCAGGAGGCTTTGCAGAGTCATATGAAGGGTGACCAGGCAAGAAGACCCAGGAAGCCAGTTCTGAGGGCTGCTGCTGTGAACTCCCTGAGTCCCAGGGAGGAGGCACATTCCCCAGGGCCCAGAGTGCTTGGAGAAGGGACAGACATCCTGGGGGCTGAGGCTAAGGAGGCTGCAGCATGTTAGGAAATCATTAAAAATAAAAATCTCCTGCCAGCCTAGAAAACTCCTCTTTGTGATTGTAGAAAAGAACAAAACTGCTTTTCTATTGAAGGAGCATTAAACCAGACTGTCATATCACAGGCGATCCAGTTAGTGATGGCAAGTACAGATAGAAACCCCACTCCCTATCTAGCCAGGCCCAGAGAACCCCTCACATGCACATTGTCCAGACAGGTGATAACCTGTCCTCAGGTAAGGGGACAGCACCATTTGTGTCATAAGACTTCCTAATTCCACTTGGTGATTGGGCGGCCACCTGTATTAACTAATCACTGTTATCCAAAGGAAAAGTAAAATTTCTAGTATTAGGCTTGGCGTGTAGGCACTGGCTCAGGGCATCCCCCTCACCCCCTGTTGCGAATCCCAGGCTGTTCTGTGTCCTAAGCGGGTCTATCGAGCCTCCCAGCGAGAACCGTTTGGAGAACTGAAATAGTGATGGGTCTCATGACATGAACTCCCAGGTGGGCACAGCATTACACCCATTTTACAGGCGAGGAAACAAGGTTCATCAAGATGAAATGTATTTCACAAGCCTTTGGGAGGCAGAGCCCTGAGCTAGGCCGGTACTCCCAACCCTGAAGGGTGAGGGAGGGTGAGGGTGCCCTGTCCTCTCCCCCACCCCCACCCCCACCCCCCACATACACATTCCTACAATGCAGCTCTGTGTGTGTCGATGGCAATCTATAAATGTAGGTTGGAGCACATGCAGTCTCCAGGCATCCCCCTGGCTCTGCCTGCTCTGATTCTCTGCATGTCTATGCTCCCCCAGGTTGAGAGGCTGGAGACCAAGGTCGTCAACCCCCTGAAACTCTATGGGACTCAGATAAAGCAGACACGGGTGAGCGAGGTCACTGCAGAGCGGGCAGGGTCTGAGTTTGGATGTGCGGGATCCCTAGAAAATAATCCTCCTCCTTCCTTGAGTCCGAGATCAAGAAATTCAAACGTGTCCGGAATAACGAGATCAAACAACTGGAAAAACTGGAGAAATTGAGGCAGAAGTCGCCTTCCGATAGGCAGATGATTGTATCCTTCCCTGGAGTTGGGCCTGGGGCCACTGGCGCAGGGTGGTCGTTTGTCATGGTGCTCTCTGGTGGGGGCTACTGGTTAACCTGACTCCTTAACTGCACTTTCCTCAGTCTCAGGTGAGGGTCACATGTCTGTCTGGGGCAGAGAGAATTGCACACAGGTAGTGAATGGCCTCACAAAATAGCGAGGTGAGCTTTTCCTTGGGCAGGTGTGTGCTGGACCCTGAACTCAGGATGGGCGTGTCTGGGGGGGGTAGGGGGAGCTGGGGGCCAGGAGTTCTGGGGTCTGTCCTACCATTGACACTATTCAGCAGGTCAACAGTCACTCCCCTTCTCAAGTTACCTATTTTAACGCTCACTCCAGGTAGGCACTTCTAGAC